GACTCTCCAAGATAGAGTGCAGCTTTTCTTGTGCCTTTACCAAGTCACCTTTATATAACTAATTCTCAGTGAGTGAAATGATAGGCATGGTGAATGCAAAGTAAGAGGTCAGGAAAGCATCACCTTACACAATGTAGGATGCTTTAGTATGATGTCCTGGAAAAGCTTTTAAAGTAAGCAAAAACTACAGAACCTAGTAGAGGTACTTTTAGAGTGACCCTAAGTGGGTTGAGAAATGAGAAACATGCAACAGTGAGCCATACTGCAGATCACAACACAGCTGGTGGAAACCAGACTGAGTTGTAGCTGAAGACCATAGCTTATTCTATTTGTAGGATTCAGTGGTGGTTTTAGGTATTTTTTTTCCCCAAAATTAAGCATATAGAGCATATATTTTGGCTTAAATCCACTTCACTCATCTCAAATTACCTTTCAAATGTTCGTCGATGAGTCACTGTAAACTACCTAGCATAATGTTTCACTTAAATTTCAGTTACCCCAATTTCCTAATCTGGGTAATATTAATACTTGAGAGAAAAACATTAATTCCAAACTACTGAAACCGAGTAGAGTATGTATCTATGTGTAAACAAGTTGTTTATAGACACAATGAGTGTAAGAACTAATAATAGTACCACCTTAAAATGTGTTGTACTTTTTTGATATCATGGGAGTTCAAAAGAGCCAGACATCTCCCTCTTCAGAGCTGTTCCCTATTACACAATTCAGGGCAAGTTTATTAAAATCACAAAATGCAGGTGGCCAGTAGCACTGTATTCTTATGTGTTGCCCAAATTCAAGCCTTTTTAGGATAGAAATATAGATGTGAAGCTATTAATTATTAATGTTGGTTTGTATGTCTTAATTCTTCCCACGGTGCTAGTAAGTTCTGTAACATACCAGAATTGGAGAACTTAACCAAATTGTGGAAACGGGTTATTTTTTCCTCACCCTCAGGAATCTGCTTGAATATGGATCAGCATATGTTGGACTTAATGCTGGTTTCAGTGGCCTAATAGCAAACAGTCTTTTTCGGCGCATCTTGCACGTGACACAAGCTCGACTAGCTTCCAGCTTACCAATGGCCGTGATGCCTTTCTTGACAGCGACCCTGACTTATGTAAATTTTTTAAGTTACCCTTTGAGTACAGGTATGTTTTATTTCATTATCCCCTCAGTTTGCCTTAGTACACACTATGTACAGCTTCACCTAATACCAAAATGTTAATGCTAAGTAGCTGTGGGCTATAATGCAGTACTTAGGGAAGGCTGAAGCTTGCTAGACTTACCCAACAGCTGATTCACATTAGGTTTGCCTGTGCTTGGCTGCACAGTGAGTACATGTGTGTCATATTTCCCTGATCTGAAGCAGGAGCTTCAGATATAATTCCCACATTATATGTAAATCCTTTTAATGAAAAGTAGGTTATGAGAATACAACGCTGTAATCTCTGGAAGTACTATGTGAATGTGTAGTATTTAGCAACAACAACAAAAAAAAAAAATTGAAACTGTATCATTTATCCTGAGTATTCCATGTGTGTGATTGTTCAATTTTATGCTTTATTTTCTGTTACATACGGATTCAAATTTATAAAAATCCAGATCAAGTCAAGATCTTCCTACTTATCAGTATTTCCCAGCCAAGGCCTTGATACACGCTAAGCATGCATTCATGCCGCTACATACCATCCTTTGAGCAATCATTTTTGTTGTCACTGAAAATGTGAACCCTTTGCTCTTTAAATCGCATTTGCTTAAGTATCTTGACCATCATTTACACGATTTATTTCCTAGGTGATCTGAACTGTGAGACCTGTGCCATGACCCGGGGCGCACTAGTTGGTTTTGGTATGGGTGGCGTATACCCTATCCTTTTGGCTATACCTATGAATGGGGGCCTAGCTGCCAGGTAGGACTGTTTTCTAATTTAAAACCTTTATTTATACGTCCACCTAAGGAACTCGAAACTTAAAGAGAGCAAATATATTCTTACTTTAAGTCATTAAGACCAAAAGCAGTATTTCCCTTCTTCCAAGTTTTAAAGTAGTTCTGTCATGCTGTGCCTGCCTCTATATACTGTTCAGGCCACTAACCTTCACTGTGTATTGAATGCTCGATACAAAACGAACCATTATCAGCTGTGTCATATAAAATGAGATGAGTTTGCACACATGTCCTAAAGGAAAATACTGTGAGCAAACTGCTACGTGTAAGCCATCCACACCAAAATATTCCAGTTACTCTCTGAACTCTTGTAGCAATCTATTCTGTGTACCTCCAGAAGTGAACTAAAGAGGCACAAAAAAAATCACAATCTGGTTTTTGTTTGTTTGTTTGTTTTCAAGACAGGGTTTCTTTGTGTACCACCCTGGCTGTCCTGGAACTTGAGTTGTAGACCAGGCTGACCTCCAACCCACAGAAATCTGCCTGCCTCTGCCTCCTAAGTGCTGGGATTAGAGACATATGCCACCAACACAAAACAATCATTTTTAAGACTAAAGAGAAGGCATTAATGAAAATGTCTATGCAGCCCATTGCAACAGTGAATATATAACAATAGAAAAGGAGACTGACATTATCTTTTAGATACTTTTACCTTAAGACTTATAGGGCTTACATGTTTGATAATCAATGTTTTCTTACAGGTATGAATCAAGCCCTCTACCACGGAGAGGAAACATCTTAAATTACTGGATTACAGTTTCTAAGCCTGTCTGTAGAAAGATGGTATTTCCCATTCTACTTCAGACTGTGTTTGCAGCCTACCTTGGGTCTAGACAATATAGACTCCTCATAAAGGCCCTTCAGCTACCTGAACCTGGCTTAGAAAATTCATTGATTTGAAGCAAATATGTACAACAAAAATAAAATGGTGAAAATAATCTATGTCTCTTATATCAAAAATTCAGACTCAGAATTTTTTTACAAGATACAACTCTGACCTGCAATGAAAGACTACAGAGCAACAAAAGTTGGAACCCCAAATAAAAACATACAGGGCATATAGTTTTTGATGCTGGGAATGTAAGTTAGTGGTAAAATGGTTTTAGCATGTAAGAGGACCTACATATAATCCGTAGCTCAAAAAACAAAAATGCAAAAGAACATAAATTCCCTAGTTTGCCCAATACTGTTTCTTAACCATTGCCAGTACCACTCCTTTACTTTAAGGCATTTAGTTTGGTCTATAGCACAAGAAGAAAAAATGACTACATAGCAATTAAGAATAAAGTCCTCATGAAGCCAAACAGGAAGGGGAATTTTTTTTTTTTCCTTTTAAATACAGCATGTTACTTTACTTTTCTCTGTTCAGGCTGTTTCCATGGGGGTCACTCATCTTCCTCACAAAGGGTCAATCCCAGCCAACAGGTTTTAGAAAGTCACCTTTTTAAGTTTTGACCTATTATGGGATAGTTTTCTAGATTCTCAGGCTTGAGTTTTCTTTTTCCCCATGTATAATGCTGAGCAAGTTAACATATAATTTAGTACCTTCCTGAGTAACCCCACTCACAGCCTACTGCTCCTATTTTTGCTTTCTGATGTATGATCATGGAGTTATTTCCCTAGATCATTTGTTTCTGGAGCAATCCACTGTCTTCTTCGCAAGTATTTCATAGTCTTCTTTTTTAAACTACGACTAATTGTGGCATCCAAATAAACACTGTCCAATTTCTGTAATGACAAATACCTGCACTATTAATATTAGCCACTGGCTGATATACATAGCTTCTAAGGTCATGAGCTGTGGATACAGAGCCTCAGTAATGCACATTATATCAATTCTCCTTGAAGCAGTTAGTCACCACAGAAGAGTGTAGCAATGTCTACAACCATGCTAAATATGGTTTCATTTCTAAATACATCTTAACTATTCCTTCTAAATAGTATGACTTGTTGATTTAGAAAAGGTGGCTTTGAATGTGAAATAGGCTTCTGTCTAAAGAAAAAAATGCCCAGGTATACCTAGCGATTGGGAGGAAAAGGCAGGGCCTTTGTCCCAAGTTTGAGAATAGCTTGATGTACGTTGTGATTTCTAGTCCATTTGCAACACCCTTGTCTCTATCAACAACAAAAAATTAGAATTCAAGTGAAATTTAGCACAGGTTTTGGAAGGCAAAGATGATTTTGTTCTTTCAAAGAACACATAAAATGTACTCTATTCAAATTTTTTAAAAAGATTTACTTAATACGTTATGTCTGCACACCAGAAGAGGGTACAAATCTAATTGATGGTTGTGTGCCACCACGTAGTTGCTGGGACTTGAACTCAGGACCTCTAGAAAAGCAACCAGTGCTCTTAACCTCTGAGCCATCTTTCCAGCCATAAAAGGTTTCCTTTATCTTCCCCTGAGATAATCATGTTTTTTTTTTTTTTTTTTGCTTCCTTTCTAAAAAGGGTTCCCAACTTCTAGTATGCTTTACTTTTACAACTGCAATGAGAAAATATATTTTGTACATAATTGCCCATTATAAGGAATATTAGCAAAAGTAAAGGCTTACTGATAGAAAACCGTCCACCTATAATCTCACTTCTAATGCATAATTCAATTGATCAAATATAATTACTAAATTAGATTCCTTAGATATATACAGATGGTATAATCAACTTCAGGTAACTCAAAATCCAGTGATAGACCCATGTTGTTTGAGAAGTACAAACTGTTCACTATGCTTGTAATGGTCGCAGGACCTTACTCCCAACACTCCAGCTATATGTTAAACTGTTTCTATCACAAAAAGAGGATTCCTGGACTCTTGTCTCTGCTACATAGTCAAATCCTCTTTTTAAACTAGTAGAAATGGGCAACTAAGAAATAAATGCTTAGTCTACTGCCACAAGTCTACAAAAACCTGTTCACAAGGCTTTTAATGTTTAATGTTACTGTAACATTAAAACCTAAGGAAATTTAGCCTTTTGTGGCTCAGACCTAGGAACAATGCCTCAGTGAGGAAAATGGTTAAAATTTCAGTCCAGTTAAAGTAGACAAAACATTAAAAATATTTAAAATTTTTAAATCTTCTCTGTCCAGGCACATGGCTTTAAAATGTTCATTGTATATAAGAAATATGTGTGTACATGTTTGTATTAAAGTCCAAACTCAGTTAAGAGCCAGAAGGGTCTAAAAATTTGACCTCAGCAGGATGATACAAAACTTGGAAACACTTTCGGGCTATAAAATTCAAATTTTTGACTGACAGAATTATACAGTGCTCCAAACATAATCTGTGACTAGATCTATAAATTAGTTCTTAACATAAACAAAATATTTTCAGATAGTAAATTTAAGTCAACAAAAATTATACAGAATATTGTAAAACAGGGTAACTGGTTAAATATTGAGCTCACACATGCTGGTATTTTAAATTCAAATATATGAAAAATTCTGTAGTGGCCATGATGGAAGGCATTTTTAATCTCTAAGTAAATAAAAGGTGAAGATGAGGAGTGCTGACCCAGGAACACAATAAAAATACTAAGGTGGGTCTTACAACTTAGAATCAACTTAGAATCAACATAGAAAAAGGGAGAAAACACAAATATTACCTACTATACTTTGAAGAATCTGTTTTATTTGTTACAAAAATTAACTCATCTGTGAGCACACTTGATCTCTACTTTCAAAATACCTCAACCAGATAACTGAGTGTTATTAAGGTACACATTATTAGTGAATTATCCACATCTTGATTCCAAAGTAGCAGTATTTAAACCTTTGGATGTGGATCAGCTGCACTATAGGAATCGGTTACTTTAAATATAAGCCTGTGGGAATTCTCTTTACTTTTTGACTTTATGGACTCTGAGCACATAGATGAATATCAGAGGACTTGAATGAATTTTGAGTAATAACACTACTTCCTATCAACTCCCTCTTCTATCTGCATATTTCCCAAGTGAGCCAAAAAATATGACTTAGTCTAGAGCAGATGAAAAATGTATGAGCATAATCCAACAATAATGAAAAAATGATTGGGTTCTGAGTGGTTTTTTTTTACTTGAAATATGAAATAAGCCATCATCATCCAAAATATGAAGGTCCTTACAAAACACTACAGAAATTTTAACAGAACAGTAGAAACTGTCATTCATCAGAAACCTCAAAACATTCAAACATGATCAAGTACTCAGAATGTCCAACATGCCATATCTGAGATTGCACACAAGCTCATACCCTAAATTGCAATACCACCCACACATTATCATAATCACTTTTTAAAAATATACAATCAATACATCTATTTAAAAACACTACTCTTTAAGTTGAGGACTTTATTCTACTCAGCAATGTGTCTGTCTTCCAAAGCAGCTCTTTACATTCCATAAATGAAAACTCGTAAGTTGTGTGATCACTGCCAACCTATTTATGTAACTCTAACCCACTAAATCTAATTCCACAGAATGTGTTTATTATGTAAAAATCTAATGTTTCTTGATAAAACACTATAATTCTCTTCTCCAATGGTTACATATTTTCAAAAAAAAATATGCAATAAATTTAGTGTTACTGCCATGAAAGGAAAAGGTGTAATTTTGTTCCAAAATTAACTTAGTCTCATGGATTTCTATTAAGTCTTTCAAGCATTCCAGAGAATCTTTTCATATCTCCATTTCTGGAAAGTGTAATCAGTATAGAAGTAATTTGGGAACTTGGAAATGGCATTCATGTTTTGCAGCAGATGCCAAATTTTTGACCGACATGGCTCCCACAATTACTGTTACCATCAGTCCAGTCAGTTAACAGGTTGTAGGAAAAGATTCGTTTTTGCAGATACTGCTAAGCTGTTTAAAGAGAAGAGAAAGAGATTAATTTAGCGAGTATAAAATGCACAGATATTTAAAATATTTTGAATACTTTGTGGATATATCAGAGGAGTGACTACATTTTTAACAAACATGTACTTTTTAGTTAAGCCTGATTAAAAAGGATAAAACATAAGTCACTATTATAGAACTACTACAACAATATGTGTTAATTAATGTATGAATATGGACTACCATAGGAAGACAGGTATTAAAAAGCTACATCTTTAGGTTTTCTATCATTTTTACCACACAGGTACAAATCAGGAATAAAACCTGAAATAATTCCCCAAATGCTAAATTGTTCTCAACCATCACATTAAATACATTCAAACCTGAAATCTATTTTATATTCCAGAACTCTCTATCTAAATACTAATTATTTACAACACAATTTCTAAAAATAGTAAGACAACAGTTTTACATTAATCATAACTTTTTTAATTAACAAGTAGTGAACAGGACACTTTAAGAATACTGTTTACTACACACTGAAATAAACAACTGTTGTTGATTGAGAAACCCAAACATTTACAATAAAATGTGCTTACACATAAATATGATAAAATCTATTTCAAGCCCCTGATAGGTCCTAAATACATGCAGTTACCATGTAAAAACAAGACCATGAGTTGATGCAAAAAAAAAGAAAAATGACAAAAATCACTGTCACCATAACTAGAAAAGAAACAATGAAATGAAAACAGAAAAGACAGTTAATAAAACATACAGAACCTAACAAAGCAGATTTAAAATTAGGCCATTCTAATCTTGCCACTGTCAAGAGCTCTTAATTCTCCAAACTGTCATTTATAAAATGACATTCTAAAAGTCTGTACTTGGAATTTCAAAACATCCCAATCCAGAAACTGGTTCTCCCCAAGCCCACACCTCAAATGCAGGAGAAAAGCACAGATGTTAAGAAAATATTCCATGGAAATGGTATACTTTTTTGGAAATCAAGCTTACTGCTTCCAGAACCTTTTGACTAAAGACCACAGTCTGTATTACCAACAATCATTTTTCCTATTTTTATCCACTACTTTCCAATGTCATATTAAAGATGAATAAATTCTTTGAGCCCATAACTGAAAGATCAACAAACCTGATTTTATTATGACACCATTTTTTGTCATCGTACTGCACAAAATTATATACAAAGAAATATATACAAAAATGTTCAAGTATTAAATTTCAATTCAAGGCTTCTGTTTCAAAAGCTACATTTAACATATTTCAGAAAGAGCACAAATTAGTCATTTCAAATAATTTTCCAACTACTTTTGGTTTCTATATATGTATATTATATATATATATATATATATATATTTCAGTAGGCACTAAAATCCATGCAGCTGCATTGTGGGGACTTGTTCCTGCCCTTGAAGAAGCAGGTCCATCACTCCAAGTTGTGAGAGTTTGGCTACTACCCATTCATGCTCAAGTGCAGTGGATAACTTTACAAAATGTGATATACTGAAAACCAGAGACTAATTTAGGTCTCAAATCATATTATCTAGCAACAAAACATTTACAGTTAGTTGTGCAAGAACAAGATTCCATTTCCATAACCAAGTAACAAAATAAGACATCTTACGTGTAAGATAACTTACATCTTTGGACTGCTGGAAAATACTTAATTATGAACATTTTAAAAATAAAAGACAGCAGAAGCCCTGATATTACCTCTTTTTCCTTATTTCTTATACTACCTTTTAAAATAAAGCAGGAAATGTGGCCAGCAGCTGGTCCCGTCTCTTCTGCCCCAACAGCTGTATCCACTTTAGCACAAAGAAAAACAAGGATGCTAAATACGTATATCCTTTATCAAACAGTGATGTTTCACAAAGAATTTAATGTCTCTTGCACTTCAAGACATCATAACACAGATTTAGACAAGTGGACAATAAACAGTATTTCAAGGGAAGAATATTTTCCATCTTTGGAAAACAGCCTCAGTCATATCATTAAGTGGCCAGAACTATTTAATTTTAAAAAGGCAAAAGTTTTAGAAATATGGAAAATAAGATTCTTTGTGAAGCCTCACTTTACATGTTTTCATTCACTTTTCACAACCTTCAATATCTAATCATACACAAATTTAGCCTAAATTTTAATACAACAAAAATAAATGCTTTCAACAATTTCTTCATACTTAATTACTGTGCTGGTCCTCAAACATTTCATTAATCATTCTTCCTCTAATTAAAACACAGAAATCTGATGGGTATGTTAACTTCCAAGTTTTCAAGTGATGAAATATTGGGATCTTATATAGATTGTATTTATTTTCTACTGAAAATTAGAAGGCATTCTTAAGTATTTTAAGAGATTTTTCATCTCCAGAAAAATACCCACATTTGTGCATGCCTCAAATACTTATTGTCAACCTCTGAAAAGTTGCTACAATTGGAATTCCAATTTGCACCTTGTACAACTCGGAACTTCCATTCAACTTCACCTGTTTCACTGTCTCCAAACTGTATCTCTATTAGCAGGTTTCAGTGTACAGTTGGAACCGATGTCATCCAAGGCCATGTCCACACTGGGGACAGAAGAGCTAGGTACACGCAACTCTGAACAAGGGGACACATTTAACAGCTAGTTCAACCAAAAGCAATTTAAGTACATTATTGACCAGCACAAGTCTGTTTCCAGGGTGGACAGGGCCCAAATTAAGATTCCCCTCCCACCTTTCAAAAAGAAAAAAGAAACAAAAAAATATATCACACACACACACAAATTGAGATGTTGCCCATTAAAAGTAGACTAAGCAGCAGAGCATGAGCGTTACGTGAAGAGATGGATCCTTACCAGGTTGTGAGGCGGGAACGACTGTTCTGTAACCCCTACAACGGAGCCTGGCAGGAAGGAAATCACCTAAAAAAGAAACTGTCAGAGAGATTTAATAGTCACAGGTTATCATTAGGAGTTGGTTACAGTGTCACATTCATGCTTTTAGCTAAACACTTAATAGATTTAATATTACTTTTTTTTTTCCGCCTCTGAAATGTGTCCGGTGAAGATGTCCCACTAAAGGTGTTTTACATGGTGTAAGGGAGTAGAAAGGGGTAAACGCGGATAAAGAGCAGATTACTTGACCCTACATTTTAAGAGACGACGACGCCTTCCGAGCGCACGCCGAGCAGAACTCCACCGACACCTTATCCTTGTCCACATGGAGACACACTCCTCCCGCCGCGTCGTCCTCTTCCAGCAGCTCCGGCGGCTGCTTCCCCACCGGCAGGGCGTAGTCATGGTCACCGGCGGGCGAGTCTCTGAAGAGCGAGGTGGTCAGCCGCAGTCCCACGCCGCTCAGCCGGCTCAGCAGGCGAGCCAGTCCCGTCTCGTTGGCCAGGACAGCCCGTAGGTAGCGACTCTCCTCCTGCAGTGCTTGCACGCGTTTGCCCAGCTCCCGATTCTCGGCCCGCAGCTCCTGGTTCTCGGCGGCCAGTCCCCGGACTCGACTCTCCAGCCCCATCACGTACTCCTTCTTCTTGAGCCGATTAAGACGGGCAGCGGCCGCCGCCGCCTTCCGGGGACTCTTGGTCGCCGCTGGGTTGTTGTCGTTGGTGCCACCGCCTCCTCCCGGGGACTTTCTCCGCCTCTTTTCCGCGCTGCCGCGGT